TGTAGAACAAGGTTTTGCATTAACGAGAATAAAAGGCGTGCTGTTTTTTTTAGCTGTGCACGCGCGCACAGTTGTGTTGCAAAGCGCCGCACATTTGTTTTCCTTACATTTAGCTTGCCGATGCCGACGTTTTTATCCAGCAGCTGACACTTAGCCCCTCCCGAATAGAATGGCAAAGAAGTTTGTCACATCGCGACTTCTGCTCTAAAGAGAAGCAGAAATTTTCATAAATTCTTAAATTGTCAGCTATATGCTTTGGCAAATTCAGGCGATCGGTTAATTCGTTCTATTTTGTTTTTACTAAGAATTATTTTTGAATCTAAGACTTCGATAGCGAGGAAGTCTCTGAGCAGGCATTTAGTTGAAACGACTCAGGATCAGGAAGCCAATCACCGCTTCTTCCTGCCAGTTATTTTGAGGAAACGTTTGTTCCTTGGTTTAAAAATGAGAAAAGGAAACAACTCGGAGCTAATAAGAGACTAGCGCTCACAGATCAGATTGGAACCGACAGGATACACGGAGTCGCTTTCACTGAAGTGTTTATGACACACACGAGAGGTTTCCGATTTTCGCTTTCCTGTTTTCAAATTGATGATGCATTCCCTGCTTATTTTTATTTGTCAGAATCATAATAAAAAAATACACCCTATTCGCCGTGGCAGCTGCTGTAGTGGAATGGAGCGCTGGATATTCTATTTTCATCATCCAGATTTTTGTACAGGGGTAGAGAACAGCACACCGCCGTCCGAGCGCTTGCGCACCTCGGCGCTAAAAAGGTTTTTTTTTTTTTTTGGCACGATTACGCGTGCCGCGTGCGGTTTCAAGCTTGTGTGAATGTCCTGCTTTAAGTATCACCTTACCAAAGAAACACAACGCATGAAACAGGCTTGGCCGTGCGTTACCCAAACAGCGCACGAAGCGAGCTGAAAAGCTGAGGGATCCAAGATCCGCGCGTTTTGCCCCAGTCTGTCCTACCCGTGACGTCACAAACGATGATGATGATAGCTGGAGAAGCGACCCCGGTAGTTTGCACACGCCGCCAATGGGGTGGTTGCCCTGAACTGTAGAGGTTTCGTAGCTGAGGTTAGGGGGTGATAAGAGAAGGTTTACCGCCATTCTTGTTTAAAAACTGTGTTCTTTTTTAATTTTTTTTTTACCCTCTTGCTTCATTGTGTCCTTTGTCGTGGGTTTTGTTGGTTCTCGTAATCGTAGTGACGGCGTCGGAGATATGGAACATAAGGCGTGTGCGAAATAAACTTTGTAGCTGAGTTTTAGACGTTGTCTGTTCGTTTTTCTTTCTTCCTTTATGTTTTCCTTTTTCTACCCAGTTTGGACTTTACCATCATGTTCAGTATTTATACGAACGCACGCCTGTACGTTGCTTATTCATATCAAAAAGTATACGCTCCAGTTTGTGAAACTAGATTGTCCGCCGCCTTCTCTTTGCTCCCGTAGGAGTTATATATTAATGGTATGTCATACCTCCGTTACATGTAGCGTCAAGTTTGTCCACGTGAACTCATCTTCGTCTTTCTGCCAATTGCACAGAAGGACTATATAAAAACGAAACAGCATACAGAACATAATGATTAGGTGATTACGAGGTTTGCAGTTAAAATCTACCGTTGGAATAAGTCTAGATACATCTGTTTTCTTCTTTCTGTTACAAAGCAATCTGTTTCAATTTTGACACTTATTTCAACCTCAGAAAATTTGGGGTGGCTCAAGTCACCAGGCCCGATCTAAAATTGACCGTAAAAATCGACGCCTGCACGTAGCAATGCAAACTTTTCGTCAAAGGTGTATTTCACAGGTCGGTTTTTTCTTGTAAAATTACAAAGCGTAGTTTTCTTTCTGTAAGAAATAAGGCCAAGAAACTTACCTGGCTCAACGGCGGGCGGCGACGCAGACGACCAAGTCGAGGTGCGGGGTCTGTTTGACGTTCTTATCGATAGATGGCGCTACCTCCCTGTTTAAGCTCTTGTTTTAGTCAGAGCTCTGGTTTCGGTTTGCTCTTAATGAAATATCGAAAGTGCCCGCGTCGACCGTGGTTTATTGACACGAACATAATTTTTTTTCGTAATCTACCTTTGCCTTGAAAATAAATGCAGACAGAGATAGCAAACCTTCAAGTAACAAAAATAACAGAAAACGCGGTTGCAAAACGACAACGCTGACGGCGCTCTTGCTGCCGGCGGATTTCGTCTGCGTGTCGTCTGCTTTCTTTCGCTGGTCGGTTGCATCCTCGGACGCTGCTTCCGAGACTTTTTCTCTCGTGGTTGGTGAGAAAACAGCCACAATGCGTCACCTGACCGTCCAAGAGAGGGCACAGGTTGTCCTTTGGTTTACAGAAACCAGGAGTATGAGGCAAGTGAGATCGAAGTTTCGAGCCACTTTTCGTAGGCGTCCACCCACCCGTCGGACTGTCATGAATTGGGTACACCGATTCAACACGGAGAACACTGTGCAGGCCAGGCTGCGAGTACTCGAAGAGAGGTCGCCACAGCAGAACAAACGTCACGCCGTGCTTGCGGCATTTGCATTGAACCCACGCCTTTCCGTGCGGCAAGTCGCAAGACAACTTGGTGTCACTAAAAGTTTTGTCTGTAGGGTGATCCACCAACAAATGTGTCCGTTCAAGCCACAGGTCTTGTTCGAGCTGCAGCCAGATGACTATGATCGGCGAAAGCAGTTCTGCGTGTACGAACTTGGACGCATCTCCACAAACAGGAACCACCTTCCGTTTCTACTTTTCACGGACGAAGCTATTTTTCATCTGGATGGGCACGTGAACAAGCAGAACACCCGCTGCTGGTCCGAGACAAACCCCCACTGGATCATTGAAGAGGCTGTCTAGTCACCAAAGGTAGTAGTATGGTGTGGACTTTGGAGGGAAGGCGTTGTCTGTCCATTCTTTTTTGAGGGCATGGTCACTGGCGACGCATACCTTCGCGTACTCGAACAGGACGTCTTGCCGGAGCTGGAAGCTTCGCACATGCAAAGGGAGGTGTGTATCTTCCAGCAAGACGGAGCACCCCCGCATTATGCCACCACAGTGAGAGACTGGCTTGACAGAACCTTTCCCGGCAACTGGATGGGTCGAGGGTCACCGACAATGCCCTGGCCCCCACGGTCCCCTGACCTGACAATTTGTGATGTTTTTGTTTGGGGTTTCGTGAAAGCCCAGGTCTACGCAGTTCGCGTGCGCACGATGACGGAACTAAAAGAGCGCATTCTATCCGCCTTCGATGCGATCACGAACAACATGCGGGAGGCTGCCTTCAGGGATTATGAGCGAAGACTGCACAAGTGCCTCCAAGTTCGAGGTGGACATGTGGGCTGAAGACGACGAGAACTGAAGAGCACATATCTATCCATTTTTCACATATGACCAGCGGCTTTGACAACCGTGAAAACAGCGGGCTTCTGCTGACAGGCTCTTTTCAGAGCCATTAATTTCTGTTTATCTGGAGTTTGCTTTGGCAACCTCCCGTGTCTCAAAAGTACGGTCTAAATATCGTCCAAAGTGACGCATTGTGGCTGTTTTCCAACCAACCGCGACAAAAAAGGTCTCGGAAGTGGCGTCCAAGGATGCAACCGACCAGCGAAAGAAAGCAGACGACACGCAGCCGAAATCAGCCGGCAGCAAGAGCGCCGTCAGCGTTGTCATTATGCAACCGTGTTTTCTTTTATTTTTGTTACTTGAAGGTTTGCTATCTCTGTCTGTATTTATTTTCAAGCCAAAGGTAGATTACAAAAAAAAAAAAAAAATTATGCTCGTGTCAATAAACCACGGTCGACGCGGGCACTTTCGATATTTCTTTAAAAAGAAACCGAAACCAGAGCTCTGACTGTATTGTATTGTATTGTATTGTATTCTGCGGCGCAATCTCTTTGAAACGAGAGTCGAAGTTCGACACACCAAAAAAGTTAAAAAACGAAAAAAAGGAAAGAAAAGAAAAAAAAAAAGGGGGGAAAGGAGGGGGGAGGTCGTCAGGGCCCACCATCTGTCGTCGATGACCCCTGGTGGGCGGAGGGTCACAGCTACACGATCACGGTGGTCCGATCGGTACGCGCTGACTCCTCGGTGCGCAAATCACCGTCGCACTTTCCACCACGCCTCCAGTCTTTGCCTGGAACAGGCCACGTGGTCATGTTCATTCGTGAAGCCGAGTGCCTGCTCGTTGCGGGAATCCCCGATGGGCGCTGGCAGGAGCTTCTGGCACGTGAGCAGCAAACGCTCGGTGGTCTCTTCGTCTTCTCCACAGGCGCTGCATCTTATGTCCGTCATGTTACTGTCAAACTTTCGACGGTACTGTCTGGTGCGCAGGGCACCACCGCGGGCCTCGATGAGTAGGCGACTTCCCAGCGTGTTTCTGCAGAACGTTATTGGAGCGATCTCGGTCTTGAAAGATGCATACAAATGCATGCTGGTATACTGTTGCATTCCCAATATCCAGCGCTCCCTTTCGACAGCCTTTATCTGCGTTCGCACTTTACGCACCCAATCTTTTTCAGCTTGAGGCTCATCACTCATGCAAAAGGCTCCAAACTTTGTGCCGAGGCGGGTGACACGATTCCTCCACATTCCTCCACTGAAATAAGAAGGTAGCGCCATCTATCAATAAGAGCGTCAAACACACACCGCACCTCGACTTGGTCGTCTGCGTCGCCGCCCGCCGTTGACCCAGGCAAGTTTCTTGGCCTTATTTTTTACAGAAAGAGAACTACGCTTTATAATTTTACAAGAAAAAACCGACCTGTGAAATACACCTTTGACGAAAAGTTTAGATTGCTACAACAGGCGTCGATTTTTGCGGTTCATTTTAGATCGAGCCTGGTGACTTGAGCCACCCTAAATATACCATATCTTGTAGCTAAATAGGCGAAAAAATGTCGCGTCATATGCTATAAACCATCTGACACTAAACTTATTCACAGTCTCCAGACGATTAATGACACCAGCTTCGATTAAAAAAGTGTACAAAAAAGCTGACATATATGTATAAAAGTCTTATTCAAAACAGCGAAAGCTTTACTTTTTCAGTAGGTATGAAACAATATAAAAAAAAGGGGGTAGGGGGCGGTGGTGGCGCTTGTACATGTAATAACTAGTTATTCGTCCTTGCCATATGTAAGTAGGCCGCGCAGGATGCTTTCGCATTTATCACAGACCAGCTTTCAGGCGGATCTTCATTTCTTTGATTCCTGGGCCTTTACTGGAACAGTAGGGCGTCTTGGAAATACTTTCTTCCTTCACGCACGCACGCACGCACGCACGCACACATACACACACCAATCAACTCAGTACGTAAGAACACAAACAATAAAAAAAGTGTTTCGCACTCAAAATCGACAGACCTCGCAATGAAAATAATGTCGTCGAATCGTGAGCCGAAGACTGCCGGTTTGTGGACATCGAAATTCTGAACCATTCGTTGCTCTAGTAAAGGTGCAGTCGGAGATGTCTCAGTAGGGAAATTGCAATTTTCGAACAACGGTATGGTGTTTTCGTTGAGATGTGCTCTTCGCCGTGCGAGGCGCAGTCCGTTCAAAACGAGTCGCTATTTACCAAGCGTCGTTTCGTAGCTTGAGAACAATACCCGCTATTATGACACGTCAACAGAACACTCTTCAGTGCTTCACAGAAACGGGAATTTGTGCTACGCCCGTAACAGGTCCATGGCGACTCCGTTCCTTCTGTCAGTGTCTTCAGACGAAACCGAGGAAGTTGTATTGCCAAAGATTCGTTCGATATCTTCTAAACTTCTGCCTTTTGTTTCAGGCACGAAAAACAGGACGACAAAGAAGCAGGCGGCGACAACGACGGCGAACATCCAGTACGTGCCGTCCGTGCCCATAAGCTGCTGCATATCATGGTACTCCTTGACGACCAGAAAGCCACAACCGAAGCAGAAGGCTGTGCAGATGCCCGTGGCAAAGCCTTTGACCCTCAGGGGCAACATCTCTCCCAGTAGCACCCATGGGAGGGGACCCAGTCCAGAGGAGTAACCCACGAAGTACACGCTGAGTGCGGCCAGTGGCAGCCAGCCATAGGATTCGAGGAACGAATCACCTTGAACCTTCTTGAAATGAAAGCACAGTCCGAGGAGGGTGAGGCTCAAGCTTGCGACGGCGGACGAAAACAGCAGCAGGACCTTTCTTCCCAGACGGTCTGTCAAAAGAGTGGCCACGAACAGGACGGCCACCTGTATGGCGCCGATAATGATGGTGCAGTCTTCGGGGGAGATGGACGTCCCGGCGGCCGCGAATATGTCGTTCGCGAAGAAGAGGATGATGCAAACCGCCGAAAACTGTTGCATGAACATGGGAAGCAGGGTGCAGAGGAAGGGCTTGTAGACGTGCGGCAGCGTGAGGTCGCACAATGAGAAGGCTTCGACGTTGTTGCTGATGCTTGCCTCCAGAGTCTCCAGCTCTTTCTCGATCCCTGTGCCCAGGTAGAACTGTAGGGCCTCCGTGGCCGCCTTGCGGCGCCCTTTCTGCAACAGCCAGCGCGGCGATTCTTTGGACCAGGGCAGCGTGGCAGCCATGGCGATGCTCGGTGCGAGGCTGCAGATGGCCAGCCACTTGTAGTCGAGCCATTTGCCCAAGACGAAGGTGATGAGGATTCCAACGGTGAGGACCATGTTGCCTCCCGTATTGAGCAAACCGCGCACGTTGGCGGGGCAGATCTCTGAGATGAAGACGGGCACGGCCAAGGCCACCATGCCCATGCCGACACCGGTCAGGAATCGGCCCACAAAGAGCAGGATGGTAGTTGGTCCGAATATGATGAAGAGATAGCCTGCCGTGAACCAGACCGTCGAGAACAGCAGCGTACCCCTGCGCCCCAGCCAGTTGAGAAGCTGTCCTGCAAATGTCAATAATAAAAAAAAGAATGTTGTTTTACGTAGCTATACGGTCTGCCATATCGGTGTTGATAAGAAATTGTATGATTTGTTTAGTACGCAAGTTTTCCGACAACGGTCGAAGGGTGCGTCAAGACAAAACTGCGCCATACTGACAAACATGCGATTTGTATTTTGCAGGCGCTGTTTATGACGCATCCCATGCGATGGCTATAGAGATTCCCAGCTTGTGGAAGAGGAACTTTAATGTATAAATACAGATAGATATGTAAAATACTTTTTTCCGTAACAATCCTTCTTTATTTTCTTTTATTAAAAAAAAGAAGCTTTTTTTCGTTTAACGATGAAGTCTTTAATCCTGAGTTGACGCATAAGCTTTTGCATTAGCTTTTTGGCTTTTTGGGCCTCTACACCGGGGCGCTAGACGAGCTATAATTCTAACAAATATTGCTCATAAAGTATCCAGTTGTTTTGACTGAATAAAACAAATTTTATTTCTATACTTTTTGTAGATCATACGCTTTTCCTCATTTATCAACGTTGGTTGCCCCGTGTCATTCTTATGTCTGTTGATTGTGGACGTCTTTTAAATTTATTCGGGCTGTTATAAAGTATAGTTGAATAAAAATACAGAAAGTAACGCATTCTGGTGAAGCGTCGCAATAATTAAGGCCCGCGCAATCTTACGGTTACATCACGAGACGAAGATTGGCACTACGAGTCCTTTCTCTGCTTACGCTGTCGCCCTTCAAAGTATCTTCCACGCCCTCTTCCAGGCGGCAACACAAGGGACTCGAACGGACAAATTTCGTTTCGCCTCTCTCGAGGCCCGTGACAGCGTCTTTAATTGGAGTTCAGTCGAAGGAGAAAGTACAGAGGCAGAAACAATCTCAGAGCCGGGCGACCACACACCTTCCCTTTCTTTAAGTGGAATGAACGCCCTGGCCCGTTTTTTGCAATTACTACATCTCCCGCCTTTGAGAGTGTACGTTCAATTTTCGGGCACAACGCCTCCAGCCTTTCCCTGTCCGCCCGCTCGGCAAAGACGGCTCGACTATTTTGGGAAGCGAGGAGTTACACTCGGAATTGGTGTGTCATCCGCAGGCCGATCCGCTTCTACCGCACGGCCCCTTCTTTGCAAGAAGATTTCATCATACTGTCTTTTCGAAGTGTGTCTCTTTCCTCTTAGACGTCTGTCATTACGAATTGCGGACTCGGACTTGGCACCGTTTTGTTTGGTTTTCTTTCTTCCGGGGTGAAGTAAGGTAGAACGACCTCTTTGAAAAGGTTCTACACCAGGCTACAGAGGTAGTGCGAACGCGACGTCGACGTTCTTTTTCCGCTTTTTCACTCGATCAAGAATTTTGAGAACACTTAATTTATTTAGCCTCTGAAGTGTGCGCCTATAGGGTGAGCAGTTTACACCACACTGGCACGCTCTCAGAAGTTCCTGCATAAATTTTTGCTGTCATCCGCGTCGCGTGTGTGTCAGACGTGCGCAAGCTCTGTAAATGTTTTTACTCTAAACGCTGGTTCGCACATACATCGGAACGCAAGATCAACACTATTCGCAACTCCAACGTCCAGTCGATGGCGGGGCTGTAGTTCCGAAATGACGGAAGAAACGGGGATAGGGTTTCTCCGGGATTTTCCGTGCGCCTGCTCGCTGACGTTGATCAGTGTGCTGAAATTAATTCATTAGGCTACAAATACGAAGCAGTCAAGACAAGAGCACATCACATGGTGACGGAGGTGTTGACGTGCGTTAAGAAAATGAGCGTGTTGATTTTTAGAAGTTGCGAAGCGGAAACAATGCAATTCGCATTTTAACGCACTTGCGAAAAAAATCGGCGCCACAGCCAACGAAGCGAGTGCGATCGCAATGTTTGGCTTCACATGCTCCAACAACCGCGCAATTTCTGTCAGCGCGGCCGGCTCTTCTACCTAAGGTTAGTTGCAGCGGACGCGGACGCGACGCGTTTGACTGCATAAAACACAACAAAAACTTCTTAATAAACAGAAATGTTTTACGAATACAATATGTAACTAGAAATTTCTAATAATTAAGCATGAAACCAAAAGCTTTTAGGTGACTAAATTTATTTTCGAATACGCAGCTGTCGGGGATGAGAGCTGGCTATTAACGACTGAAAGCTTTTCGGACTGCGTGGTGTGTAGGCTCACTAGTGGTTGACGAGAAAGCGATCGCAACGACTTTGCGACAAAATACCAACTTTGTTGAAACAAGTCGTAGAGCCGCTGCGACAGTGTGAGTGCGGCCCATTTTAGATCATACTTCTCTTCATCGATTTTTACGGCCCATTTTAGATCCAGCTCGGTATTTGAAACTTCTTATGTATCGACGAAAAAAAAATAGGAAATAGAAATAGAAAAATAGAAATAGCAAGAAATAGAAGTAGAAAATAGAAAGTAAAAAAGGAACGAGCGACATCAACAACAATCACGGCGTCGTCGTGGTGTCCTCACTTCGTGAACCTATTTGTTTTTATTTAATGTTTTAGTTTTATATAAATCATTAAAAACATGTTTTTTGTTGTCCTCACAATGTCTAGGTGTTCTACTGTAACAATGCTTTTCCTCTGAGGTGGGCCGTATAGACTCGTACCCCAGCGAAATAGGGCTTGTTGGCAGCTATAAGATCGTGGTGCTGGGAGAGGTTCGCACCGTCTGGGTGTGACGACTTTGGTCCATTCGCGAATTGGAATTCAAATTCCTCATACCGTAGAATTGCGACTCGAAAGCCAGCAAGTGCAACATACATGTACCCAAAGACCGCGGTCGAACGGATTGGACATGCCTTGCGAGGCTACCGTGGGCACGGCCATTAGGCACGGTAACTCTCCTTGCGCGCGCTGAAGGATGTGCTTCAAATGTGCAGCGTGAGCTTTCCGTAGACCAGCCGCTTCGTACAGTAAAGCGTGTTTCACATGCAGCGATTTTGGCTTTAAAGCGGCGCGATTCCTGCCGTCGCGGCGCTCGTGCCGCAGAATTGCTGGTGCTGGCCAGAGCGCCGCGACGGCAGAAATCGCGCCGCTCTAGGGCCAAAACCGCTGCATGTGAACTAGGCTTAACGGTATGCTAAAGGCCCATTCACACTGCGACGCCGAAACGTTTTCCTACGTTACGTTTTAGCTTATAAGTCACCGAGACATCCGTGCTTCGAATGTTGAGTGCGAAGCTAGTCTTTGAGTTGCTTGGCACACTTTATACGAGGCACGGATGTCCCGGGGACTCTTGACGTAAGCATTTAGGGAAGTTGCCGTAACGTATAGAAAATGCATGCAAACGGTCCTGTGCGAACGGGCTCTTTACTATTTTCTAGCCACTGAATCTTGAACCTAGTCGCGTACACTGGTGTACATCCCCTGATAGGCAGAAACACTTCGTATGGAAAAAAAAGAGAGGAAAAAAAAAAAGAGAGGTGGATTGTTTACCTCCAAGGAGACCCCCGAAGACTGCACCTAGGGTGACCAATGAGCCGAACCATCCTGTGTCATTCTCGGTGAAGTGGATGTTCTTGCGTATGTCCGGCAGGGCAGGCGACGAATAGGTGCACGTGATGCCGAACGACATCGACGCCATGTACGCCGCCACCACGGTCAGATAGAGGCGCCGCCTGGCGCCAGCGGTGTCCCCCGACGTGTGGAATACGGGGAACTGGGCAGTGGGTACTGTTACGGGAGAAACGAAAGATTCTTGGTTACCGGTCTGCATAGACCAAAGTCTGCTGGAGCACGCTGAACCTCTTTATTGCAAGGTCGCTTTATCGATCCGCATATCGATGGCTGGTTAGAAAAAGTGTGTACCGTCATGCGAGTTTGCGAATGCGATGACCATATATCATGAACGTCTCGAATTGAAACCGTTGTGGTTTTGTTTTGAACGCTTGACTTGGACACCTGTGCTGACCGTGCCTCGGCTACCGAACGGAGCAAGAAAGTGCAGCGATCGGACTCCGACCTCTCAGCTCCAAGTCGTCAGGGTGGCGTGGGAATGGGAAACGTGTACACGCCCAACAACAGAAACGAGAATAAGATTCGGTCACGCAACGCACAGTAGAAGACGCAATCTAACCCCTCCGGCTTTAACAATAACTTGAGTTGTAGTTACTTTTCAAATGAAGTTGTCACGTGAAACTAAACATACAGAAACGGCGGTCGTAGATTTAGTTACTACGATGTCCGACCGAACTTCTTTCTCGTCACCACTCTGCCGAAAAATGTTGACGGCAGCCAGATTATGTTAAAGTCCCTTGGTGAACGCTTTGCTTAGTGTCGAAAGGGATCGACGTCCAGACGCGCTTTCCCAATGGTCCGTGCTCGCCTTCCTTTTCCGGTTAAAAAGAATTTGGCGGTTCTGACTGGATCTCACTTTCTATAGTAACGGTTTGGTACCTTGAAGTTGGAAAGCCTACCCGCATTCAGCGTTGTTCTATCTGAATTGCCCCTTGGCATGACCCGCCGGAGCAACTCGGATGATTTTGAACACAGTAGCTTGGTGGACGAGTTAGGAAGAAAATGGCGGACCGGGCGCTAGTACGTGACAGGGGCGAGGGGAGGGGGCTGGTGGAGGAGGACTTGGTGCTACCTTGCATAGCGTTCACCTTGGGACGTTCGGTTATTTTAAAGTAGTGAATCCTGAGAAAAAAGTGCGAAGCTCCCCGTTGAGTTTCCATTTTTTTGTGCATGGAATGAACCGTTTCCTCTCGACCTCTCCATTCTTGGTGAGTCGATATAAATTCGCTTGATGGGTTGCATTATAAAGACAATTATTGTATAGTGCAGAAATGTTTCTAACCGCACACCGCCGAAACAAGCGCGATTTGCAGCAGCGCCACTGCAAACGGCGTCCTTGCTGGTGGCATTGCAAAATAGTTTTGTCGTCTTTAAATACGCAAAAGAATAATATTATTGTAAGAGATATGATAAAATAAGCATGATTGATAATTTGATTGTATACACAGTGCCAAGGGCGCTTATTTTGGCGAGGAACACTTTCAGTACGATGAAGCTACATAGCGATCTTGGTGCGGCTGGTTATGGACGACCCTTTAGAAACTTCGAAGATTTGAAAAACCCGAAATGGCGAGGCAGCAGAGACTGATCAACCAATAACCATTCGAGGTTTTGGTTTTGCATGTTAGTATAGGTTTGTCCAACTAGCAGGCAACGGCGCTACTTTCATCAGGATTCATCGACTTAGTGTGTGTGAGACCGACCTTGGTGCGTTTGACGTATCGTGTGTACAACGTCGCGAGGACTGTTGGTGCCAGTATTTGATCAGCTGCAGCCTACTATTTGATAGGTCTTCGACTTCACCAGAATTGTATTAATTTATTTATTTGGAATATTGATGGTCCTTTTAGACTGTCAAAAATGTGGTTTTATAACAAAGCAATAGAAAGAGAAAGAGGGAGAGATAAAGGAAGAAAAAGAACAAGAACCGTACAGCATCCAATCACCGGAAGTACAATCATATGCTCACGAATTATTCTGCTGTACACTCCGCTCTTCACAGACAATATTCGTGCATTTGCGCTAAATTTAGCGGGAAAATACACAAACGATTTCCCCCTAAAATTAGCGGGTTCGTTTTTCTCGCTAAATTTATGGATGAAGTTTACCCACTAAATTATTTATCCACTTTACCCAGTTAACCTCCCTGTTTTTCCTTTTTTTGACTCTCTCTCTCTACGCCGTAAAATAGAGAAATTTGTCCGCTAAAAATTGAAGAAAAACGCCTAAAAATTTAGCGGAAAATGTTTTTCGCTAAACTAAGCGGGAAAAGTTTTCCCCGCAACTTTTGCGCAGGGCCACGTCCTTACACAATACAGAACACGCACCCGGAGTTCTGCTGAGAAACCAATCAAATAACGGGTGTTTCTATAGAACAAGTGACACCTAACGACAACATGGCGAATTGACGTGGTACAAGCAGGGCATACGGAGCTTTCCATCTCAGTAGTTGCCTAAAGATTGTACAGAGGGCGTTCACGCACTGGTCGTCATTAGGTTGCTTCAATTTGGTTGGTTTCATTTTCAACGTGCACGCGGCTGTTTTGCTGTTTTATGTGGTCTTCGCTTAATATTGTAATACGAATCTGTCCCCTGTATCGTGGGGACCCAATCAAACAGTAATGCTGAGCCGCTTTGAGAGTGGTTTCGAGCCTAAATGCTGACATATTTACAAACATGACGAAAGAACTTAACTGATACACGATGATGACCTTCGTCTACGGCTGCACCCGACGACACTAGTTTCCAGAAAAATAAACTAACGAAGGCACTAATCCCTGAATGTATAGTGAAGAAACAGGGCGACATTCTAACTAACAATGTGCTGAATCGTGAAGACAAATGAACTCGAATGGACAGCAACTCTTTGTGAACTTCGGAGACTGGAAAGCTCTCTTATAATGATAAAACAATCTATAAAAGGAAGTGATATTTTCTCAGTCTGCGTTCTTTAAAGAAACTATCTGCTCGATAAATGTTTCTTTAGTCTGGCCTAGACAGAGCAGGACAGTATTTAAGTTGTAGGTCCCGCTAAAATACGATGATTAGCATCATTTCACAACATTGACCTTAGGAAATAAATTATTTGTTATACATTGGCTTACGACAAGCTAAATATATGGGATAAGGGCAGGCGCGTGTTTCTTCCGTAAAATATGCCAAACAAAAATAAAATGGCACGAGAGAGGTGACCTCGTCAAGTTTAGCTGAAATCGAACGCCTGCAGTCGCTTCTTGGACTAGTGCAAACAGATATTTATTTGTTTGAACAGATGAGCTTTATAGGTTTCGGCCGTTGCAAGATCTGAAAATAAATCTCTACATGCCATTGACAATGCTGCACTCGGCTGATTTTTATGCAGACGTTTTTGTTTTTTGTTTTGGCGTCCCATATCGCGAACCATAGGCACCTCGAAGCTGTCTGTGACAGTTTCTTACGCGGGGGTTCCAAACTTTATTGTGTATAGATATTAATTAAATTGAACTGGTTATCTTAACCAAATCATTAAGTCACTTGAAAGACTGTTGACATGGAGCCTAGTAAAGTATCGTTTTAATTTAAAAAAAAGGATTTATCGCAAACACGTTTTTATATCGCAAAAACAATTAAAAAAGTTAAACACATCTGGGTGTGATATAATGAACAAAACAAATCGTAATTGATGTTGATGTACCCTTGCTCCTAGCATCAGATAAAACGCAAGTTAAATGTACGTTGCCCATTTTCTCCATGAGTTTCCCCATAAAATTAAAAGTATTTGCTTTTATTCTTTATGAATACAAAGGAGGATCCTTTCAGTATACACTAGAAAAAAAAAAGAAAAAAAAAAAAAAAGAGGCGTATTGTTTTACACTTTTTGTCCAATATGATACCCCCGAAAGTTCGGTTCGACGTACAGCGACGTGACGTCTAACCGACGGTACCAACTTTTACGATCAGTTTTATAGCCGAGTAGTACAACTTAATAAAATAGCTAATGTACCTGTTACTGACAAAAAAAAAATATAATCGGGGTTTTCTTGGCCCTACTGCAAAACCTCAGTGTTTTTTTTTTTTGTCTGTAGTCTTTGATACATATTTCCGAGGGTAAAAGCGCTCAAAACAACGGACACGTAAAAGAAACGAACACACAGCGCTACTTGCAACTCCCAATAAACATAAATACCGGACAACACCTTGCGGAGTAAGATAGCAGAAAAAAGAAACAATGCGTCGAAACGCGACGATAAACACGAATACAACGCAACCGGCAAAGCGCGGTGGAAAGGGCGGGGTGACGAGTTGAAGCATTCTAATGACGGCCACATCACGTGATTCCAAAATGGCGGCGCCCATGCGGTGGAGGGTGAATAGATAATTTAGGGAGAGGAGGAGACAAGAGCGCATGGGGTCGTCAGAGCGCCAAACTCTGATTGGAAGGATGAGCGGGTAGACGTAAAGGCCAGCTATAGCTGCCTTCGTCTCCGCTCACTGTCCGAACGCGTTCGAACGCGGAACGCCGGCGTTCGGACATGAGATACTGCGCGAGGAGCAGACGACGCTCTTGTTCGCTCTGATTGGTGGGATGCACAGGGTAGAGTCAAGGGCGGTTAGCCTTTGCGTCTACCCACTAATCCTTCCAATCAGAGCTACGCGCTTTGACGTCCCCGTGCGCTCTCCTCTCCTCCTCTCCCTCAGTTTCGTACCGTAAAGTCGATCTCACAAAGTTGGTTTCAGTGCAGGCAGTGGTGTGGCCGAGAGCGCGTAGCTTTTGAAAGGGCTTTCTATGCGCGCCTGCTCCTGTTCGAAAAGCATTGTGCAGTGACGCGCTCTGGCGCCCGTGCTTTTGCCTAAAGGGTATGCTGAGGCCAGCTTGCGAGATGGAGCATTGTTTGTTCGGGAGGGAGCGGCGCAGCTTTCGCGAAAGTTTCTCGCCAAGTTTACGGGGTGCGTCGAAGAATGGAAAGGGCGCGTTGGCAACCGAGTTCATTGGACGCAGCGGTGTGGGATTCCACCCGTGTAATCCGTGACAGCTTTCACCGGACGTTGTGAAGGAAAACAATATTAAGGAATTTTATTTTCAATATACGTTTGGAAGCTTGATTTTTTTTTGTTTTTTGTTTGATAGTTGCTGACGTTCCCCCGGAGCGACAAGTAACATTCTTACGGATACAAGG